AAATTTATTGTAGGAAGATTTCTTAGTACTCCTTCATTATAAGTGCCCTCATCAAGGCCCCAGAAAGCCCAGAATTTACCTTAATCTCAAAACTACCATGCTAAACCAAATTTAATTTTTTATGTTATTCTTTCCATTATTTTCCTTTTTTTTTTTCTTGTAAATGATAGTACTATGTCGCTTATTCTAGAATGTAGTAAATGGCATTTATGTAATAAATGATTTGTTGGACTAAAATAAAATTTACTATCACAGACACCTTTCCAGGCTGAAAGGAGATGAAAGTCAAGTTCAAAAGTTTGAAGGTAAACCGGGTTCGGTGGCTCAGCTTGTAATTCCGCGCCTTTGGTAGGCTGAGGTGAGTGAATTGCCTGAGCCCACGGGTTTGAGACCCGCCTGGGCAACTTGGTGAGACCTCATCTCTACAATAAATCAAAATTAGCCGTGTGTGGTAGCGTGCGCCTGTAGTTCCAGCTACTTGGAAGGCTGAGGCAGAAGGATCGCTGGAGCCCAGCAGGTCGAGGCTGCGGTGGCCGGGAGTGGCCACTGCACACCAGTATGGGTGAGAGTGAGACTCCAACTAAAAAAAAAAAAAAAAAAAGTTTGAAAGTAGCTGTGATCCTCAGTGACAGAGAGGAGACTTGTGCAATACTGAAATGGACTAAAAGAAGCAGAGTCGAGTAGGAAATGAGTTAGTATAAATTAGTGACATGAGAAAGTGTCCTGAGTCCGATGGTTCTTTTTACTCAGAGTGAGATGAGAAAACACTGGAGACTTTGAGTAAAAGAATGAGATGTTTTCTATGTTTTTAGAATCACTCAGCCTACTGTGTTATGATGAGATTAAAGCGGTGACCAAAAGACATTTAATTAGAAGAGGTTTTCAGCACTCTGGACTAGAGAATACAGTGGCTTAGACTGGAATATTAATAACTAAAGGGGCAGGGGCCATTGGTTATGTTGGCTATGTTTGCCGTGTTGCATAGAGGAGTTGTTCAAGGTTATGTCTGGGGTTTGGAGGAAAGGGGGGCATTGAGAATGGCTCTAAGGGTGTTTGATCAAGACTGGAGTGTAACTTTAAGACTAGAGATGAAGTCACCAAGAAGTCTGGCAGTAGAACCATTGAAGTAAATGTCAGGCAGGTATGAACTAACTTTTCCAAATATAACCTGCAGTTCTGTAGATGACAATAGGGTATGAGGCTAGAAAGAAGAGGTGATAATGAGGGAAAAGCCTGTCATCCAGAGATGATAGCAAGGAGTAGTAATTAGTATCACATATATATATATTTGCTTGAGATTCAAAGGAAGCATATTAAGGAAAAGGAGGGAAAATAGTCTAGAAACATCAATGAGAAATGAGGAGTTTACCCAGCACGTCTCCATAATTAATGATAAGACATGTGTCGCAAAAAAAAAAAATGTGGGTGTGCTGTGGGGGAAACAGTGGCCTTTGCTCTGCTCTGAGAAAGATTTATAAGCATCAAAATGATCCCCTCTTTAAGGTTGAGTTTTAGTTCTTCCATCAAGCTGCCTGGACCTGGTGCTGCTTGAGTACTTTGAGAATTTTATGTATTTCCTCTGATGAATTGCACTTTAAGATTTCCCAGTACTTTGAGATCAATTTTGGTAAGTTTTATCTTTTAAAAAATAACTATTTTCAAATTTACGTATATTCAAGCAAAGTTTTGTTCTGAATTATTTAATTTTTTCTGTTTGTGTGTTACTTCCAAGAATTTCTTAAGTGAAGTTGTAAAATTCTCTTCTTTTTTTTCTTGAGTAGGTTAGGTAGTGGTTTATATAACTAATTATGTTTTTATTTTTGTTGTTTTATTCAGAGAACCAAATTTAGATTTATTTATTTGTTTTAGAGATGTTTATAATTTATTCCTGACTGCCATTACAATTACTTTTTTGTGTGTTTTCTTGTGTTGTTTGTTTACTTCTTTTATGAGATGTTATGACAACTATACAATCTTGGTCAGATTTCTCAAAAAGAGTACAAACTAATTTTATTAAATAAAATATTAACAAAATGCTATGACATTTTATTCCAAGAGTAAAATATTATGTTCTGGTGGGATTTATACTAAGAATGCAAAATATATTTATTTTAGAGACTATACTAAGGTCAACCATAATTTCAAGAAGAAAAGTCATTACTGTCTTCATTCATGATAGATATTTTTTTGACCTGAAAAAAACACTATTCTCATTTTTATTTTTTTGTTTTTTATTTTTTATTTTTTTTTGAGTTGGAGTCTCACTCTGTCACCCAGACTAGTGTGCAGTGGCCGCTCCTGGCCACCGCAGCCTTGACCTGCTGGGCTCCAGCAATCCTTCCGCCTCAGCCTTCCAAGTAGCTGGAACTACAGGTGTGCGCTACCATGCCCAGCTAATTTTTGATTTTATTGTAGAGATGAGGTCTCACCAATTGCCCAGGCGGGTCTTGAACCCGCAGGCTCAGGCAATCCACTCACCTCAGCCTCCCAAAGTGCTGGAATTACAGGCTGAGCCACTGAGCTCGGCTTTATTCTCATTTTTAAAAGTCAATAAAATGAGTATGAATGAATACTTTTTTAACATAACAATATGTCAGTTTTAAAAATTATACAACAATCCATTGGAGAAAAATGGAGACATCCTCACTTAAGCCAAAAACAAGATAATTATTTTTATTGGAAGTACTAGCAAATGGAACTAAAAGAAGGAAAATGGAAAAAAAGAATATAACATTATCACTATTTATAAATATATTCTTAAAACAGGAGGATAAATTGGAAAATACAAAGACAAAAAATTAAATTAAAATGGTCTAAAATTAGTATAAAAAGATTAATAGCTTTCATTTATACAACCATCAACTAGTTAGAAAATGAAAAGAAGGAGTAAAATTAAAAGATATAAAAACATGCCAAGAACAAAAAATGCATGATTGTGTAAAAAAACAAAACAAAAGCAAAAAACAAAAAAACTGCTAAAGGACATATAAGAAAGCATGGACAAATAAAGAGACAAAAAATTCTTGGATAGAAAGATTCAATATGAAATGTTCATGATAAAGTTTTAAGTAATTGATTTATATTTAATGTATTCCTAATAAAATATAGTAAAACAAAAGAACACTGAACTAACTTCAACTCTATTTTTATGATATGCCCCATGTAGAGTGATAATGTACACAGAAATAGAGCAACAAGAATAATTGGGTATCTGAAAAATTAACAGAAGGAATATCTGGGAAAAATTTGGAGGAAAAGACATCACTGAGGTAAGTCAGTACCACCAGAGAATAAAGCATAGCATGTAACTTTAATAACTAAAATTGTGTGTTAATAACTCATAAAAAGATTAATGATAATGGAATCAGGTAAGAAGCCTAGAACAAAATCTAAATACATAAGAAGATATATGACAAAATAAATGTAACATCTCAAATTAATGAATAAACGATGAACTATTAAATATATTGTGTGAGGACAAGAAGGTATTTGAAAAAAAATTGTGACTGCACTAACACCTCCTAGTGTACACTAAGGTAAATCCCAAATGCATCAAAGATTTAAATATACATTGTGAATCCCAAAAAATCACTGGTAGAAAATGTAAAAGAATTATAATCCTACACCTAATATATGACTAGAAAAAAGAAAAGAACAAAAGTCATGAACATAGATTCACAGAAAAGGTAACAGAATTGGCTCTTCAACATAGGACATAAACTCACCCATGATGAAACTTCTAAAAAATATACTGTCTTCCCTTTCAGACTGGCAAAAATCTAATGTTTGACATTATACATTAATGAGAATATTGAATACAATTAGCCTTTCTTAGACTTTGCAGTTGAAATTGCAATTTGTTGTTATAAGCTCTATAGAACGCAATCTGGCATTTATCTCTAGAACTTAAAATGATCTTCCCCCATCAAGGGGAATAGTTAAAAGTACTCAACCACAAGCAGTCATTGGCCATGTTAATCTCACTTCTGTGCAATTTTTGGCATCTTCCAAGAAGCATTGGATCCCACCCCAGATAGCCACATGTGGGAAGTAATCTTTTTTTTAAATAAATCTTGTCTTCACCTCAAAAAAAAAAAAAAAAAAAAAAAAGTTGCATATACTCTTTTATCTCATTTCTGGAAATTTACTCTATTGATATACTTGTATACATTCAAAATGATGCATGTTAAGTGTCATATATTTTCTTCATTTTCAATAATAGAGACTAAAACTTCAAAATTCATCAATATAGATTTCTTCACCATATTACATACATATGAATGAATATTATTTAGCTGTAAAAAAAGATGTGAGGGGCTTATCCAGTATTCATATGGAAAGAATCCCAAGATATATTGTGGAAAAAAACCCCAGAAAGTGCAGGAGTATATTCATATTGTTATATTTTCTTTAAATATATACTGAAAATCTAGAAATAAACAATAATTAGCAAAAGGAATATCTCAGGTGGAACATTAGAAATATGCAATTATTATAGTAGGAAGCATTTTTTCTCTACGTTTGTGTGTGTTTAAATATGCATGTATATGTATACATATGATAAATACATATCATTTTACATATGTATTTTAATAATTACCCATACACTGAAAGTTGACTTCAAAACCCTGAGATATTACATGCCACTAGCACATATGTTAATTTCTTTGAAGTATAGGGTCTTTGTTTGCAACCTTGCTTTTCAGTAATAAATGGAAACGTGCCTCTGGTATTTCCCAGTTTCCCAATGGAACAAAGACCCTTCTCCTTCTGCATTTGAAATCACAGTTAATTAACTGGTGGTTTAATCTTGTGTATATTGTCCTTTTCCTACAATCTAACCAAATCAGAATATGTAGTTCCTGAGAACCTGGCCTCTCTGATTTTCTGATCTAATTTAGATGTTTATAAGATAAAAGATCCTTGCTGCGCTTCTTAAATTTAATTACAGGGTTAAACAAGAGTGATGACAAGACAGCATTGGCTCTAATATAAATTACCTTCTCTCTGCAGGAGGAGCATTATCCGCTGCTTGGACCGTGAGCGCATAAGTCCGCCCGACTATCAATTCCACCCCTGGCGCGATGGTGATAAGCCCTGTTGTTTTATTGATGATGAAGTCTCCCTGAGCCCCAACCAGGATTTCATATGTGATCTCCCCATTTGACCCTTCGTCTGCGTCGACTGCAGTGAGCTGGAATTGAAAATTACAACATAAATCCTCCTGGGACTCAACTGTTCACCACCGTGTCATTTTTCCCCCCAACCAAAGGAACTTGCTTTCAAAGACAAAACATAAGTAAAGAAAATTTTCTTGACATATATACACTTGTTTATTTGAATTGAGGGTACTGTGTTCTGTTATGATACTGAAGCAATCACTACAAGAAGAATTTTCTTTTTTTTTCTTGTGAGAGTGATAAGGAACACATATTTGGATCTTGTTGGCTTTCTTTATTTAATTTAATAAAGGAAAAATGCCCTAACAGAAAATCTAATATCCCTATAGGAAATTTAATTCTTTTTCTTTATCTTACCTTGTGTTCTTGGCTCATAAACACATACAACTACAGAATGAGACCTGGAAAAAATGAAATCTGCAAGGTTTGCCTTTAGGACTCCTATCTTTCCTTTTGCTCTGGCTTTTTTTTTCCCCCCTTTTTAGTTATACTTGCCAAGGAAAGATTCTTAACTTTTCCACACTGACTTTTAAAGGACTGACACGCCCTGGAGTGTTATCTTTTCAAACAAATTCATCTCTAATTGTAGAATATCAAGGTTAATGTAGCCCAAAACATATTTTTGAGGCAAGAAAATCTATGCAGAGCTCTTGAAATTATACCACATAAAAATTTGAAAAGCTAATTTGTACATATGTATAATCATTTCGAGGCAACTTGTACCTAATAATGACTTTGGATTACTATGTATCCAATGAGAATAATGATTAATTTCATAAAACAATATTAAGGCAATAGAGATTTATTATATTAAAGAAGACTCCTTGACTTACTGATAAATATAAATTTACTTAAGGAGGAAAACAGAATAAAAATTGGTTCCAGTGGGAAATTTTACCATATGTATCTTTCATATATTCACATCATTTTCTGGTTTTATCACACCAAAAGTGATGGAAGAAAGAAAGAAAAGTGACCTCAGTTTACAGAGGGGGGAAAATAATTAATTTTTTTCATTGAAATAAAGAAGGTACACATAATTGTAATAAATCAACTTGCAGAAAATTGGTTCTTATTTACTTACATTTTCTAATGTATTTATAATTATCATGTATTGCTTCTATAAAGTAGTAGTTCTTGGCCGGGCTCCGTGGCTCAGCCTGTAGTCCCAGCACTTTGGGAGGCCGAGGTGCATGGATTGCCTGAGCCCGAGGGTTCCAGACCCGCCTGGGCAACTTGACAAGACCTCATCTCTACAATAAATCAAAAAATTAAGCCGGGCTCGGTGGCTCAGCCTGTAATCCCGCACCTTTGGGAGGCTGAGGTGAGTGGATTGCCTGAGCCCGTGGGTTCGAGACCCGCCTGGGCAACTTGGCGAGAACTCATTTCTACAATTAATCAAAAATTAGCCAGGTATGGTAGCACGCGCTTGTATTTCCAGCTATTTGGAAGGCTGAGGCGGAAGGCTCATCGGAGCCCAGCAGGTCGAGGCTGCGGTGGCCGGGAGCGGCCACTGCACTCCAGTCTGGGCGACAGAGTGAGACTCCAACTCAAAAAATAAATAAATAAATAAATAGATAAATAAATAAATAAATAAAGTAGTAGTTCTTTATAGTATAAAGACTCCTTTGGGAATCTGGCAAACACACTGGCATATCTTCCCTGATAAAATGTGAATATGGGCATTTACCATGAAACTTAAGTTCAATTTTAGGAAAACCATATAAATCAATTGCCCATTCAAGGGTTTGTGTTTAGTATTCCCAAGAAATATAAACAAAGTACTTTATACATCCCACTATGCTTCAGGGAATACGTTGTATATATTCTATTTCTACTTTTATGATATGCCACGTGTAGAGTGAAAGTGTACACATAATAACAGCTACTAGAATAATTGCAGAAACAAAATTTGAGAGACTGGTATTAATTCAGCCAAGTCCTGAGACTGAGCATTAGCGGGTGGACAGATGTGGTTGCCAGGAGGAAAGGCATTTCATAAAATGATTCTGGGACTTACATGAGCCTGACAGACATACTCCTAAAAGCAAACTAGAAGAAAACTATTTGCAGAAACAGTCAAAATGAATGATGCATATTTATGGAGAACTATTCAAGCCAGTCAAACTCATTTTCTTTTGTGTGTGGATAAAATTAGAAAATTAGAGGACGAGAGTAGTAGGGGAGATTTCTGTTTTGATTATAGTAAATCATTTAAGCAAAATGTCTCTGGAAATCTTAATTAAAATTTATCTTAAATTGGATTCTATATTAACATTCATCCTGGGACTTAAATTGGGTAAAGGAATTTAATGATAAATGGCAATACGTCAAGTTAAGAAGGGTGGTAAAGAATGCACTTCAGGGATGTAAGCATTATGGCTAGTCTTATTTAGCATTTTCATAAATGATGTTGGAAAGGAGGATAAGCTGGATGACAATTAAATTGAGGAAGGCACCCACTTGGGAGATGCTGAAAATACCAAACAGTACTGCAAAGCACAGGCTATTAAAAAAAACAAAATGCACACCCTATTTATCAGGTAGGAAGTTCAACAAATAGACAAAAAAGAATTTTATGCTCAGTTTACTTAAATAACTTGATACTGTTTTTCAGTCTTTTAGTATTAAATAATAAAAATAGTGGGTTAGGAACAATATAATTTGTTAGCACTGACACTAGCAAAAATATTTTGAAGAAATTATTGGTGGTCCAGGATTTAAAAAGAAAATGAAGACATTGATTCTGAAAACCCAAATAATATAATAATGCCTTCTACTCAAGACCCTGAAAACTAAAGGCATTTAAAAATATTTCTAGATTCAGTGGGATTATTGCAGATTTGTTATATGGGCATATAACATGATGGTGAGGTTTGAATTTCTATTGAACCTGTTGCCCAAATAGTGAGCATAGCACCCAATATGTAATTTTTCAACCCTTGAGCCCCTCCCCCCTTTTCTCTCTCTCTTTTTTTTGAATTGGAGTCTCACTCTGTCGCCCAGACTGGAGTGCAGTGGCCGCTCCCGGCTACCACAGCCTCGACCTGCTGGGCTCCGGCGATCCTTCCGCCTCAGCCTTCCGAGTCGCTGGAACTACAGGCATGCGCTACCACGCCGGCTGATTTTTTTTTTTTTTGATTTATTGTAGAGATGAGGTCTCGCTGCCCAGGTGGGTCTCGAACCCACGGGCTCAGGCAATCCACTCACCTCAGCCTCCCAAAGGCGTGGGATTACAGGCTGAGCCACCAAGCCCGGCCCCCCTTTTCTCTTTAGAAGTTTCCAGTGTCTTTTGGTCTCACCATAATACATGTGTGTACCTAGTGTTTAGCTCCCACTTAGAAGGAGATATGTGGTATTCAGTTGTCTGGTTCTGTGTTAATTCACTTAGAGTAAAGGTCTCCAACTGCACCCAAAGGAGTATAAATTATACTACCAAGAAGAAGCCTGCACTCATGTTTATCTCGGCACTATTTACAATAGCAAAAACATAGAAGGCATTTTTTTAATGCCTTCAATGATGCTATGTAGTAGAGTCCCCATGATATTGCATAAAGTTGTAGATGTTAATTTTGCAGCTAAGTTAAGGTAGTTACTTAATTCAATTACAGTTCAATGACATTGTGACCAGTGACCAGTGTCTATGAGATGGAGACATATGAAGTTCATTCCTAACCAGCTTTCTATATGAGTAGAGCATGAAGGAAAGGTTGATTTACATGGAGAAGCCAAAGTTTTGCTTACAAGTTTCAGAAAACAGTAAAATCAAAACCATGACATTCAATTGTTTATTTAAATGTTATGATATCTATACATAGTAAGAAACACTAAGCTATTTTTACATGATGCATTGCAGTTTTTTTTTTCATGAGCTTTAATATTACCTTTTCATAATTCCTTCCTCTCAGTATTTTAATGCATGCATATTCCAAATGTCTCCAACCATCCCCCACTCCCAACACACACCAAAAATCTGATTTTCTCCTGCTGTTCCCGTTTAATTTTTGGTTGCAGTTTACTTCTCTCTTCAATTGTTCTTTTCTGCTTCTGAGAAAATGAGAAATAGAACTATGCCTTCATTGATAATGACTAAGTATGTTGACCATTTGGTGACTTTTTGGGCATCTGGGCTCTTGATTTCAGTAAAAGTCCCTCATTCTCCTTTGGGGATCCATTCATCATTTTCACAATCCAAGTTTGGGTAGGGTTGGCACTTAGCTCCAATAGTAAAAGTAAGACTCAGGCCCAAACATTGTTTGTTTCTAGAACTGGCAAGTTATTCTAGTTGGCACAATCAGAATGACTCCTAGAACTACTAGAAAAGGATGGCTCTTATTTTCTCCAGGGCAAAACTGGTAAATTTACCTCTGATGTTTCTGCTGATATTCTTGTCTGCATTGAATCTACCTATGACTGAGGCCCCCACAGAAGAAGACAGTGCCAGGAAATAAGCAGACAATATTACTGATGTCATGGTTTCCAGTGATGTGTGAAGCCAAATTTACCACTAAACTTTCCTGACATATAAAAATTATATATATTTTTAAAATGCTAATTTAATATGAAATTAAATCTCTAAATCACAAGAATCCTAAATGTTACAGAAAAAAATAACTTTTAAGATAAACTACTCTTCTTGGTTTGCAGTACAATTATTCTTGTATGATTATTGTGCTTTGAGATCTTGATATGTGGTACCATGTGATCATTAACATATCAAACTATCTTTGACTAATCCATAATTATTCATTATAATGGTAAAAGATCTTACTCTGAAAAGTGGTAGAGTTGTCCTTGTATAGAAAACCTAATAAACTATTGACTAAGTAATAAAAATAAAGATAAAATAAAATTTAAATATTTCATATAATAATTGTTGGATTTTAAAATAAGGAAATAAGCTAAATTTTAAAATTGAGAATTTGTAAAGTATATAGTTATTGAAATATTTTAAAAAATCTCTTTATTATCCAGGTTGACTATTCAAACTAGACACACAAATATAAAAATAAAG